AATTGACACTTAGTATCCACTCAGGAACGACCAGAACAAACATAGGCAATTTTAACGCACGAGCGTCAAGAAATACCCAACATCCGCAGCGTCGACCCGACGAATGCAAAGAATAAATGTGAGGGTCCCATCTGGAATTGAACCCAAGCATTCTGCGCGGCCATGAAGCTTTTTACCACAGAGCTACGCCAGGTCTCGGAACTACTTTTCGAATAGACACCAATCTTCTAGAAACGCCAATAGTGGTTGCAGTGCTGCCTACCCAATTTTATAATGATTACTTATTTACTCCTTTGATACAGCCGTCACGTCAGGTTAACGCCAATTGTAGTTGGGTGCCGTATGCGCTGAAGATCATTCATGCAGCAGTGTTCAGGGCCAGCATTCTCGCGAGCGTCAATGCTTTATATCAGCTTCTGGTGTTTCTAATACGCATGTTCCAGTTGGCATCATTGTACAAGTGCATACAACTGGTTATGTGAACATCTGCAACTCTTCCATATATGTCTGTGCATGCACCATTTGTACATATATTTAGTCATTCTATGACGTATCGCTCAATAAAAAAATTGCAACATGGTCACTTTCCTTTCGCATGCTTCGCATAACGTTGATTCTCAGGCGCGTGGGATCTGCCGATTTTTTTTTAGCTGCCCCATCTATCGTAGTTTGGACCAATAAAAAGTATACGTTGAACAAGAGTTATTGTGCATACTATTCCTATGATGCAGCCGAGTTTTTTATGCTCTGTACTCGCGTAGTTAATATTATTTTGCCGTGCATTTTGTGCATAAGGCCAGATATTCTCGTTTTTGCATGTCTTCTGCAACACTGCAGGAGCACTCTCGACACAAGTGCTTCTGCAACACTGCAAAATTTGAGCGAGCTTGATTGAGCTCTTATTTACGAACGAATATTTTTACAAACGAGCTAGTGGCTTAAGAGTCGGGCAACACCGGCGCGCTCACTAGCCATGGCGTCATGAACCACTTACTGGGTGAGCTGATGCACAGTGTGCATTTCGGGGGATGATCGTGTTCTGTAGTCAGCTGTGCCAAATAGAAAGAAATGGCTTTCAGGGGTTGAAACAATGCCACTGCTCTGCTACTTGCAGCAACAATTTGGGAGGTCAAAAAGTGTCTTTTGAATGTACGTTTCGAATGCCACCACGAATAAATCTTTATGAAAACTCCTCGCAGGCAGTGCCATGGTTTACGTCACACTTTCTATTACTTTGTGAAACCGTATACAATCGACAGAGTTCAAAGAAAGATTCAGCCAAATTGTATATCATGAGCAACCCTAGCAGCGCACTGACATGCCGTCACATCGGCTTATGCTTGCATATGTCGCACGCAACAACCGATAGAAAGACAACCGTCCCGACGCGCAGCATTCCGTACGACCATTTATTTATCATGTTTGACACTGAAAGTCATGCATGCGCGTATGCTAGCCAACAAAAATCTGCATGCTTTTTTCAATTCCACGGCGCTAAGTAACTTATGCTCACCAATGCAGCGTCGGTGGATCCCTATATGCCAAGCTCACTTTTCAACCTTACACACTTTAAATAAAGCTACTTATCACTGCGGAAAGCGGTCTGCAACGTCTGACACAACGGCGAGGTCGTTGGCATCTTGCTTCACACTATCTTCGACGCTTTCTTCGTCACTTGAACTGGTGGCGATAGAGTCGAAGTCCAAATTCGCAACGTACACGACGTCGTCACCCCATAAGGGGCTGGTGCCGATAACACACGGCAACACTTGCAACCCACTGGCACGTGTGGGTTATGCAGCAAGCAACACTCGCAACACTGACCGCGTGCGAAGGGTGCTGTTTGGTAGCAGACGGCGGCACTGCTCTTTCTGCTTGTGACGTTAACACACCATGACAAAGTGTCAGTCACCAGATGGTAGGCGGTATTTGCAGCCGATGACTTCTACGGGCGCAGTTCGTTATGGACGGAAATATTCTCTTACAGTCCAGTTTTTTCATGTGTACAAGCATATTAATCTCTACCTTCGTTTTTCGCTGAAACCCTTCAATTCTTGGGTGACCATGTCATGACCCCTATAAGACGATGGCCTTAGATAGCCTTAGATGCCTCATCAAACGCGAAATATGATTGGTGGCGGCGTAAAGGACGAGCTGCACAAAATATACTGCTTTAGATAGTGCGCTCGCTTTCAGTCTGATAAGAGTGGCCTAATAAAATCGCGCTAAGTACGTCTGATCACACTGGCCCGACCATCCCAACATGGGTGTGGTACGAATTGACGTATGGCACGCAGGGTCCACCTTCGAGACCCGATGAAGTCCTTCCCACAATACCACACTACGTATACTCATTTCGTCACGGAGTCCATTCCTACCAGCGGTCGAAATCGAGTCCGTGACGCAAACAGCAAGACTGGCAAGGGTAGCGTATCGATTTATCTTGCAAATATAACGCGCGATAGAATAGTTGAAAATTTTTCTGATGAAGTTTTTCGTTCATTTGGCGAAGCAAACAGAGTGCGACCCCGCGATATCTGCGCAAGCACACACACACACACACGCACACACACACACGCACACACACACACGCGCGCACAAACCGCACACAAACATAAACACACACGCAAGCATACACATACACACACGCACGCACACACACGCACACACACAGTCACATGCACACACATGCACACACACGCACATATACATAGATGCACACGCACGCACACACACACGCACACACACAAGTACACACACACGCACACACAGACGCACACACATACACACGCACATACACACGCACGCACACACACGTGCGCGCACACACACACATGCACACAAACACGCACGCACATGCACACGCACACACAAACATACACACACACGTGCGCGCACACACACACACACGCACGCACACACTCACACACACGCACACACGCACACGCACACAAACACGCCCACACATACACACGCACATACACACACGCACATACACACAAACACGCACACACACGTGCGCGCACACACACTCGCACGCACACACACGCACACACACACATACGCACACATGCACGCACATACACACTTATGCACACACACACACACGCACACACACACACGCGCGCACAAACCGCACACAAACATAAACACACACGCAAGCATACACATACACACACGCACGCACACACACGCACACACACAGTCACATGCACACACATGCACACACACGCACATATACATAGATGCACACGCACGCACACACACACGCACACACACAAGTACACACACACGCACACACAGACGCACACACATACACACGCACATACACACGCACGCACACACACGTGCGCGCACACACACACATGCACACAAACACGCACGCACATGCACACGCACACACAAACATACACACACACGTGCGCACACACATACACACACGCACGCACACACTCACACACACGCACACACGCACACGCACACAAACACGCCCACACATACACACGCACATACACACACGCACATACACACAAACACGCACACACACGTGCGCGCACACACACTCGCACGCACACACACGCACACACACACATACGCACACATGCACGCACATACACACTTATGCACACACATGCACACACACCCTCCCACACACATACACACACACATGCACGGACATACACACACACGCACGCACCGCTCAGACGCACACACATGCACACACATGCACATATACACACACGCACACACACACATACACGCACACACATACACACACACCCACACACACACATACACGCACACATACACGCACACACACACGCACACAAAGGCAGTGGCGCTTTGGTGTACTGGCGCCATCTAGTCTTGCATACAAAAACTAGGTGCTGTGAACCCTGTAAAACTACAATGATTACGAAGTGATCGATAACTGTTCCGACAGGTGCCTTTACCCTATCGACCAATCTTCTGTGCATTTCACAGCCAAATATATCAGCATGCTTGGTGATGTCACGTTACTCGAGGATGTTGTACTGTGAATGGACGCCTGATAACGCCTTTGGCTGAGCCGCAGTGATGGGCAGTGATTCGCAGCATTCATTTGATTTATATGCAAGATTTACAGTTCCAAAACCACCTTATGATCATAAGAGGTGCCGTAGTCCACTACGGCACCTCTCATGATCATAAGGTGGAGGGCTCGAGAAATTTCTACCACCTGGTGTTCTTTAACCTGCACCCGAATCTTCGTACTTGGTCCCACAGCATTTCTGCCTTCATTGAAAATGCAGCCGCCGCGGCCGGGATTCGATCCAGCAACCGGGTGAAGTGACCGAGGGCCTTAGCCTCTAGACCACCGCGGCGGGGCACTTCGCATTTTAAAGCGTCGTAATAAATTATAGAGCTGACGCAGAGAGATTAAATCAGTCTGCAAATAAGCCTTGGAACTTGGTCTGCCAGCGTTATGTGCTTGTATGAATTCATAAAAACCATTTCAGGGTCCTTTTAAATATACATTGAAATGCACCTGTGTTTTGAAATTTTTTACATTGCATTTTCATTAACCCTAAGCTGTCATTTATGGCAGTGACTCTTTCCCCTTAAGAATAGTAGCCAATACCTCAAGTACGTTACCCATCAGCTCGTTGTAAATATGCTATCAAGAATCCTATAATGTCGCTTACTTTCCCTTGCAAAACATTAATAAAATTTAATAAATCAAAAATAAACTGTGAAATATATTAAGACAAGTACACATATTGCGTCTATAGGTCTATGAGTGTAAAAGATTATGAACGTGAAGCATTGTGTTTTTTTCTATCCTTTAGCTATACTGCGAAGCTTGTATGTCACTTTCACGTTTCAAAATGTCTAATTCTTATTATCTGCAGAAGCTTTTTTTAAGACTGTGCGGAATGTTGAAGGAGTTTTATAATGCGTGTTGGTCATAGAAGTGATCAACTTAGCAATAAAAGTTTCTACATTAACAGTATATTGTTTTATGAATTCAGAAAACCGAGTACCATGTGTCCTTTGCGTGTCGTATCACAAGGAGCACCATCAGGAACGCCAAGCATGTAGTAGCCTTCGCTGTACATACATTTCATTTTGCAATCCTTAATTCCGTATGACTGGAAAGCATGAATTTGAAAGTATATGACACACTTCCAAGCCACCCTATAATAATAATGAAGTTCAAGTAATGTTTTTTACGTACTTACTTTATCGTATTGCATTCCGCTTTTTCCTGGGTAGCAGCGTCTGCAGTAATCGTTGCCCGATATGTACTGACCTGGTAATCCTTTTGGCTTTTTGGACTTACGATTTCGCTCTTTTAGACAACTCCACTCTGGCCGGCTATAAGAAGAAAAAAGTGGCTTGATTATACAACGCAACTGATTATAGGTACGCTCTGCACGCGCTTCCTCCATTTCTCTCAATGCCAATTCAAACGCACGCTTCTCAAAGGGAGCCGTCGGTGCGCCTTAGTTCAGGTAGTGGAAGTGATGTGACGCTACATGTTGAGTAGCGATAAAGTTTTTGTATATTCTCTCTACGGGAGCAGGGTAGCACATAGGTCCGCCGTCTTGCCTATTAAAAAACTATGGTAGCGCGGCGAAGCCACGCTCTGTTTTTGCAGGCGACTTGCTTGAATTTGTAGCCGATTGACAAAGCGTGTCGGCGATCGCCAGTCGACGTATCTGGAGTGTCAATGATCGGCGAAGAAAGACGAAACGCTTGCTTTGGGGGCTGCGCCACGAGAGCCAAAATCATTTTTTCCAACTCCAGTATCTCACATCTCTCACATTTGTTCCTTCGTGCTGGCTTTTTGTGCCTCGAAGTAATGCCACCACTGTGTCACAGAGCAGCGCATGCAGAAGCGTCGCAGTGACACTTCCCAGTGGTTGCACGAATAACCCCAAGGACGACGATACACTGTGTCCCTATCTCAAAACATCGCATCTTTTATAGAGCCAGTGTGACCACTAATACTGTGAGCACGAGGAATGAAAGACGCCGATCCCTAGATTTGTACACAACTGGAAAAAGTTACTTCGAATGGTTCTCGTCATAACACAGCGCGAGGGGTTCCCTCCATTATGAACCCAGAACATACGCGAAGACTACGTGATGGGGGAGAGCAGAAAAACGCTAGCCCAAAAGAATGATGAACAACTGGATCGTCTGGCATTGACAAAAAGTGACAGCTTTGCAGCGAAGGCGAAGCAATGGATGTGATAGCAATAAATTGGAATATCAAGCCAAGAGTGACAAGAAGATCGGACCACGCCTCGCGTTGCTCACACGAAGAACTGTCTCAGTTGTTACTTCGCTGTGTCTGAAAAGCGCGCCCTTTTTTCAAGCGGATACTAGGCGGTGACTGCAGTGACCTTAGTGCGCCCGGTAACTACAACAGAATTGTTTCGGTGAAAGATCAATGCCTACGAATCTCCCCACCATGAGATGTGCGCGTGCATGCATGACCATCCACACAGCTCCCCTATCCGCTGCGCAAAGTACGCGTATGATGAGAGCGCGTGTCCCTACCTTGTGGTGATGTGGTGACGCACGCTGCTTGCGCCATCTTGCTGGTATTGCTCAAAAAACGATAGTTCCCCTAAAATGGGCGTTCCCAGCGGTAAATCGCAAATATAAGAACTTCGCAGATCCCACGTACAATAAGAGTCGATGATATGCGAAGCACGAATGAAGAAAGTTGATGTGTCACTTCAAAATCAGCACAACGTTATGAGGCGGAGGTAAATTATGCCGTAATTGACTTCCATGTTATGATTATCACTTTTGCACGTGTCATTTACCTCTGTATTCTATTCACGTCACCTGACGCAAAATTTGGTATGGAGCGAGCTAGCTAAACGGCCTCGAGCGTGCTATGAGCGTAGCAAGTAGTTTAGTTTTTTATGACATGCATGCCACTATTGCCATGTTTGGACGTGTCATTTGCATTCCTCGTTCATTCACGTCACGTGATATCAAATTTGGTATATGTGTAACTTGTGAAACGGCCACGAGCACGTTATGAGTGTAGCATGTATTCATGTTTTACATGACATGCATATCAAGATTATTTTTTATAGCATACTGCAGACCAGAATTCGGTTCTTGCAAGAAGGGCACTCTTAGTACGCTAAAAAAATACAATACAAAAATATCAATACAGTGAGTAAAAGGAATGCGCAAATTTTCACACTCAAGTTACTTCAGACGTGTCATTAACCTTCGTCATGAGTTCATTATGCAATACCAAATTTGGTATATGTGGAGCTACGAAAGGGCCACAAGTGCATCACGAGCGTGGCAAGTGGTCATGTTGTCACATGACACGCATCTTATGATTATCATGTTTACACCAGTCACATACCTTTGTCGCACATTGACGTCCTGTAATACCAAACTTGGTATATGTGAAGCTAGAGAAACGGTGGCGAGTGCACGTAGCATTGATGCACGCGCACGCTGAGCGCAGCGACGCTATGCTAGCACAACTCGAGCGAACGCCTCCTCTAGGAAGATGCCTGCCGCATGAGAAGAAAAAAACACAGCTACCACACCCTTTCCCTCCTTCATTTTGAAAATGTTCTTCGTCGATACCGTCCCCTGTGGCGGACTGTGCAACAACGCAACACTTTGCACAGCCTCCGAAACAATGGTGCACAGTTGCAGGCCTCGAACAACTCTCGGTCGACGCGCCCCTATGGGCCGCCGATAAAAAACGCTTAGCTGGTACCGCCCGTCGCCGTGATAATAGTGTCGGTCGCGAGCGCCACCGCGCGGAGCTTGTTTAAAACTGAAGGCACGCCAACTCCGCTGGGAGCGCGAGCCATTCCTCAGGCATCTTTCTAGAGGAAGCGTTGCTCGAGCACTCAGTAGTCTGATGCTAGGTGCAACCAGCGTCCGTCGGCGAGGCCCAGCGGCAACCGTCGCGAAATGTGACAGGCTGTGTTTTGCGCCGACGACGTTACCCAGTCAGCACCGCGCCATAGAATAAAAAAATGGCAACATATCCACAGAGTGAAGGATGGAGAGTGGGGCGAAGCATTCGTCCGTCCGTGCGTCCATTTGTTTGAACGTCTATGCGACCCTCCGCCCATCCGTGCGTGCGTCTGTTTGTGCGTCCATCCCTGTGTTCGTCCATGCATTCGCCCTTGTGTACGTTCATGCGTCTATCCATCCATCTGTCTGTGTGTCCGTTCGTCCATCTATTCAACAATCCAAGTACCACCATCTCGCATCTTTTCATCATGTATTCCTCATATAGAAGCACCACCATCCAGCGGACATGCCAAGAACTGAACGAGAGGTGGCACATGCACACTTTCTAACGGCTTGCGCTTTGGTTCTACTTCCCCCCTTTAGCCACATCGAGTTCATTGTATATACTAGTTCACTGTATTTATGGCACTGTGGCCCAACGCTCGCTAAACCTTTCAAAAACCAAGGAGGTTACGCCCAGCGAGTATTTGCGTAGCAACCTTTTCCTGTCAGATAGTGCTCAATGTGCATGCCAATGACTGCTAAAGGGAAATGAGAAACAGGAGAATTCGGCTTTTACTCTCTTACGGCTTGCGCTTCGTATCTACTTCCCACCTTTAACCACCTCGAGTTCATTCAAGGTACCTACTAGTTGACTGTATTCATGGCACTGTGGCTTAACACTCGCTAAATCTTTCTAAAACTAAAGTGGTTGCACCCAGCGAGTATAACGTAGCAACCCTTTCTTGCCAGATAGTGCTAATTGTACATGCCAAAGGCTGCTAATGGAGATTGCAGCGTTCGCGTTAGCTAAAAGCTGAATGCTCCTGCTCTCATTACCTATTAGCAGCCTTTGGCGTGTACTTCGAGCATTATTTTTAATTGTTAAACAACGCACAAAAGAAATTTCTAACCGGCACCACCTTGCAGGTCAAAATGTTAATCTTGTTACTTACTACAATGGCTGCGAGGAACGAACGGGTGCCGCTATAAAAATATTCGCCCGGTTTGCAAGTACTGAGGACGTCCCTGATCATTCTACGTCAGGGGCGTCCGTCAGTAGGAGTTATGATGCCCGTTGTGTCTTGGACTCCTTCGAAGGCGCTTGTCTTCGACGTTGTTGTCCCTACGGGGACTACTGGCGAGACCGTCGTTGATGCGACGGCCTCAATAGTCGGCCTCTCAGAGGCATACTGTGCGCAGCATCAGGGAGCTCGAAACTTCCAAGTCACCGTGAAGAGCATGGCCTCCATGTCTCTAATCGCCAATGCTGGCTGCCTGGTTATTGGTGGCTAGCGTGTTCAAGTCGTTCCCATTGGCCCACCAGGGACCAACGTCACCAGCCTGTTCCTGCCATCGTTCTTCTCAAACGAAGTTCTCGTCCAAGCGTTACCTCCATATGGCAAGGCGCTCGCTTTCACCAGTGGTTTGATGAGCGGGCGACGCGGCGTACACACTGGAACGCAGTATGTTCGATTGGAGATTAACGCCGCTAATGCTCTGCCGAACCACCTGCGCATCTCCGGTCACCGTGCTACGTTCGACTACCGTTGTCTCCAGCGTGTAGGTCAAAGATGCGGCTTAGAGGACCATCTACGAGCCCAGTGCACAACACCGTATTGTGGTCGCTGCGGTGTGCACGGTCACGTTAGTGAAGAATGTGACCGCCCGTGTCGGTGTTGCGGGAACGGCCACCCAACTGTGGTTTGCCCTGTCCGCCACTCTTACTCAGACGCTGCCGCTGGTGCCTTTCCACCACTGACACGGGCAATGGAACCAACTACTGACTCGGGGGACGCAGAGGATGTCACCGACGCTGGGCTCGCCTCACCCCTACAAGTTCCTTCAAACTAAGCGCACAACGAAAGCGCGATTGTCGATGCGACGCTTCGCGCGTCGGCCTCCTCGATGGTGCAGGAACCGTGCGCTTCGAAAGACGAAACGCACTGTCCTGCAAACAGCGTCGGCGTCTCTTCTCTGACGCCACTTCATACTCAGTGCGCAAATGACCCCAGTTCTCAGGCTGCTGCTGTTGGTGTTGACCCTAGGACCCCTGTTATTTCGGAAAACAGTGGCGAAAATACCAAAGCTTCTTCTGTTGCGGCTGCTCCGACCATTTCGACATCGCGTCATAAATGTAAAAAATCCCCCACACATAGGGTGCCTACACCGGCCTGCCGAGACGTGGACAGTGCTGCCAGTATTAAGGATTTGGATCAAAGCTTGCCGGCGGCTCAGTCCCTAACTCCACAGAACTAGTCTTCGGAAGACGGCTTCAGCCTGGGACTGGATAGTAGCATCGGACTGTCTAGCCTTGCCGATTTTGACCTCGACATGGGAGCTCCACATGAAACAAAGCGAGGGCACTCTTCCAGCTCTGGCTCCGAAGAACGCAGTGATGGCCGTGGTAAATGCCAATGGTCCAAAAATTCTCGACCCTCTTCTGGAGAGTCGAACAGTGCGTTGTAATTTGGTTGAGGAAGTGTCCCCTGGACAATTTCCAGGACACCGTCTAGAAGCATGCGTCCAGGTTAGTCTTTACTTTTTATTATGGCTACTAGACTGCATGTTATCTCATTGAACGTTCAGGTTTTTCGCAGTCCGGCAAAGCAGGCTCACCGACGCTGCAAATTGTGATGTTTTGTGCCTCCAGAAAACAAATTTCTTCTCGCTATCTGACGTGGTTGCTTTTAAACGAATGTTCAACCTAGATTGTTATTTCTCTTTCGCTACATCTCGTTTTACGGGAGTCGGTATTATTATTTTTAATCGAGCTCTATTGCGGGATCATCATGCTTTTTACGATGGCGTGGGTAGGGTTTTGGCTTTAGACTGTAGCTACCTTTCTTTCAGATTAAAGATACTGTGTATGTATGGGCCAGCGCAAGCTGGATATTCTAATGACTTTTTTGGAGACCTGGATCTGTTTTTTCTTGACGGTCGTGATGTCATTCTGATTGGCGACTTCAACTGCGTTCTAAATACGCGAACCGATGTACAAGGTCCTGGCTTGGGCCATGACGTCTTGATGTTCGCGTTCTGCAGGACGGGAACATCAAGACGCCATGGCAGCAGGACGTGCGCTCAAGATCATATTTGTCACGCGCAATACGTGTGTCACTCACGGCGTCTGGTCCTGAAGATTGGGATGCTCTTAAAACACAGTGGCGCCTGCGCTACGCAGTGGAGGGGCATTCGCTTCGTCGACGCGTTTCTGAAGAGCTCGCTGATACTGCGTTGAAGTTAGGCATTGCTTTGCGCGCCGAGGCGCCTTCTCCTCTGATGCGAGAGTGGCAGCGTAAACTGCGTGAACGCTTTCAGTGCTTGACTGCTGCTTCGTCCCTGGCAGAAGCAGCATGGCGCTGTAAACACAACCCATGTGCACATCCCGAGGTGCTGCGCTACGCGATACATTCGTCTTTTGGGCAATCACAGCCATCTGTCTCTATGACAGCACAAATACCACCTGCACAGGGGCTTCCTACGCGTGATCGATCTGTTTTCTTGGCGCATTTTGAAGCAATGTCGTGTTCGGCCATGCGGACTAACTGTGATGTAACACCGCCAATGCTTCGAAGTTTGCCCCGTATTCCTCAAGAAGCTGCGGATTGTCTGCACATCCCTCCGTCGGCTGAAGAGGTAAAAGCGGCACTGAAATCTATGAAACGTGGAACGGCCCCTGGGCCAGAAGGTTATCCTGTTGAGTTTTACTTGACATTTAAGGATGAGATTGGTGCTACCTTTACCACGGTTATCCGGCGATGCTACGAGGACGATGTCTTTCCTACAAGTTTTTGAGATGAACGCATTGTGCTTATTCCAAAGGGTGATGCTTCCTCTGTTAATCCTGAAGATTGGAGACCTATCACGCTCCTCAACATTGACTATAAGATATTCGCGGCGGTAGCCGTTCAACGTTTGAGGGGTCTGTTGGATGTCCTGGTAGGTCATCACCAGACTTCATCAGTGCTTGGACGAGAAATGCACAGCTTGTCATTCATTACATGGTATATCATAGCCTATACTATGTCACGATCTGCGCGTGGTATCCTTGTGTCTTTGGACCAGGAAAAAGCGTTGGACCGACTAAAGCACGCGTATATCCTTAATGCGCTCAGAGCATTTGGCTTTCCTCATTCGTTTGTGAAAATGATTAAGAACACATACACTGGCCTGAAAAGCACACTAGTTCTGGATGGCTGGGAAAGTACCGCGTTTTCCATAACACGTGGGGTTCGTTAGGGATGTCTATTGTCTCCTGTGCTGTTTTTCCTCAGCCTTGAGCCATACTTCCGTGCTCTTGACGCGGATTCACGTATCCGGGGTCTTGCGCTTCCTGGTAGTGGTGTCGTGAAAGTCATAGCTTTCGCTGATGATATAACTTTGTACCTTTCAGATGAAGATAGCCTTTCTCGCAGCCTGTGTGTATTTTCTTGAGTTCGAGACATTGGGGTTTGATCATTCTGGCACTTTCAACCTAGATGACCGCGTCCACTGCAATGATAACAACGCGCGTTATTCCAACGCCAGGCATTACTGTTATGTCTGACACTGCCACAACTCCCGCATTCAGCGAGTACCTCTCTGCTCGTGGAGGACTGCGCCTTGATCATGAGCACAGCTGATGCTTAGCCGGCCATTTTACGGGCATCATTCTCTGCCGCTTCAGCTGCGAGAGCAATTGTTTCGGCGTCCTCTAATATCAGATATTTCTTTGTCAGCATCTGCTTCTGCAGGGCACTCGATCAGATGCCGCACATTATCCTATCCCGCAGCATTCGGTCGAGCACGGTATCAAAATTGCAGTTGTTCACGATTCAGCGAATCTCAGTAATGAATTCTTGAACAGACTCACCGTCCAGCTGGTAGCGGTTGAAAAAGCGGAAACTTTCTGCAATCTCACGGTGCTTGGTATCAAAGAACTCGTCCAAGGCCTTCACGACGTCCTCGTACTCCAAAGTTTTAGGCTTCTTGGGCGCTATTCTTCCCAATAGTATCTGGACAGTGCGAGTACTTGAGGCTGCCACCAACAACGCCCGTTTCTTGGCTGACTCTGTCACCCCTGTTGCCTCAAAGTATGCTTCTGCCTTGACGACATACGTCTTCCAGTTGTCTTTCTCGTCGTCGAAGTCCGGCAGTTGCTGGTGCGCCATCGTCGTAGCGGACGTCCTGTTTGAACCCAAGATTGTTCTTTCCGTATCTCGTCGCCACTGTTACGTCGTTCGTCGAGCCCTGTGCGTTGGCGCAAGCGATGTAGACGACAGTCGACAATGTGGTAGAATGGGCGTTTATTTGAGTGTACGTTACAACATAGACTCAAAGTAAAGAGAGAAAGGGAAACGAGGTATATGAAACAAGAGATAGAAGCTTTGGCTATAACTGCGCCAAAAACTGATAAAGGTTACCCTTCAGTTACAACATGAAATGAAGTTCACATACTTAGACAAAAAATAAGCTCCGATGAGCAAACCAACGGCTGCAGGTTACACAAACATGCAGCTCATAAGCCATTTATACATGTACGCATACATTTTTCAAAAACTAACACCGAAATAAAAAAAACTTACCCAGGAATTTTCGGTGACCGTGAGATTTTCTCGTGCAACAGCGCAAATCTAAGCGTCCCTTATGTAGCACTCACACTTGGCTTAGAAGAGAGCAAAACCTGCGAAACACTTCAGAAACTGGATCGGTTCATCACCCAAGCGGCCGGAAAACCACGCCGCGTGGTTGGTGCGCAAGAATCGGTCTGATAGCAATTTTCCTACTACGCGAAACAGTACCTGGTTTCCGCTTCGCAACCTTGGCTGCACTAGATCAAACCACGCGACCAAACCAGCTGGCCGCAGATTCAACATGGTGGCATAGGCGTCGGTGGTGGCTCGCATCGGCTCAAATCACAAACTACCCATGGAGCACGACGAAGATTGATGACCTCAACGAGGACGCGTTCATCGAAAGCCTGACTTGGATTACGATCGCCGAGTTCTGGAAGTAGACGGTCCAGCGGCTGCGAGTCGGCATGCCCTATCAAGTCTCACTTTTGTGTACACTGCAGCCGGTTGAAACCGCGCCGCCGCTGTCGGTGCGTTCACTCCTGTAGTTTCTGCTGGCGTATATGCCGATACAATGTTTCGAAAGGTGCAAGCTGTTTTTTTTCACTACTTTGTGTCAATAACTAGAATACGAACTTTAGTTATCAGAAAGCACGCAAAATCGAATTATCAAGGCAGCGACGCCAGTGGTGGCGGGATGGGACAGAATGATTCTGAACAGCATCGACGCGTGGTCACGGTTTCCCGGCAGCTCAGGCGTTTTTTCTTTTTTCTTCACTTCCCAAGTGTGAACGCGGTCTTACAGCTTGATTTATCGGAAACTTGAAGACGCGCACCTTTGTGTACCTCGTGTGGTTTGCGCGGCATCGTGGTACACAGCGTTTGCCTATCATGACACAGTCGTCGCTTTGACAATCCTCACATAGCGGAGAAACCACGTCCGACTGAACAGCGAAGAGATTCGACTGTATATAAGCACCGGGGAAAGAGTTTCGGGAGACGCGCGATTAACTTGCACGAGCGCAACCCGGACGGGGGATGTGTCGTGTTGCGGCGACGGGCAAAAACGCGCTCGCCGCCTCATGCGTTCGTCCTATCTGCTTACGTAGCGTGAGTGGATATGAGAAAAAACTAAGGCCTCCATATTTTGGTAGAGGGTGTTGCCGAGCACTTCGTAAAAGAGGAAGGTGCACGGCCGCAGCGTGAGAGAGGAGGAGAAAAGGCTGCCGAAGAGCTATGCAAAGAAAGAGCGTGGCAGAGAGGATAGGCGTATGCGCAGTGGAGTACTTACGCCACCGGACCAAGTTCAATCATAAGATGCTTCGCAGCTAAGCTATTCAGTTCCCCTCGCTTGAGGGTCCAACGCTTAGCTATTAGGACGCAACACCTACATTATGCAGTGTACTAACAGTGAGATATTTATATGAATATTTGGTGGCAGAAACACATCTAGGGCACATAAGTACGGGTAATGCGTGTTCACCATCACCCGCTAGATGGCACGTAAGGCCAAAAGCCGTTGACCCACTTGTTTTTTGTCATGATGGGACACTGCGCCTTCTGCTTCAAAAGTGACAAAGCTTCCAGCAGTGGCTCTTTTTCTTTTTTAGCAAAAAGAGTGACCTACAAGCCTTTCTTCGTATGACATTCAAAATTGCTGATATTAGGGTACACAGGAGAATCTCTTTTCTTTTTGTGCCACACCTGTCCTCATTTTCTGTTTTTTGTGCACCTAAATTCTGCTAGAAGAAATAGAAAATGTATATGTAATACCTCAGCACGTTAATGATATCAGCTATGCAGCACTTTGAAAAACTATACATTCTTCTGTCCATCATGGCGTAACTCATCATATAACCCTCATCCCAGGAGCATGCCTCGGAACCTTTGTGTCCGGGTACTGAGGGCTCTGCTGGGCTTTGGTCATGCACACATCCCAACCTGAAAAAAGAAAACAAGAATGCAGCGTAGATGCAATTTACATTTTCAAATATTTTGAGAAGTTGTTACTTTGTAAAGCTTGAACTTCTGGGGCTTCATCACAAATGGCCACCATACAGAAGTGGAACCTTTTGAAAAGAACATGTAGTTCTAATGTGATAAGTGTCTGTGTATGCTCTGCAGTGCTGCCAAGCGATCAAAAATATAGACCTTATTCAATATTGCTGCGATCTGTCGGCAATTGTGTGCATAGCTGCCATGTTAGGGGTTCACGCGGCGCAGTACGCACAGGTCCGCGCACGTAGACGCATAGGTAAGGCGTATCGACGTGAGGTATGTATTGACTGACATTCGCAATGCCAACGTATTACTGCATCTTTTTGAGCACAAAGAGAGGAACTCGGAATGCTGAAGGAAAATGTAAGCTGTAGACTTTGTCTCTCCTTTTTAGATGCGGAAGCATCTTATACTCGCGCCTTGTAGTGCGCCGTCCGCGCCGTCCGCACCGCTTCTCGAACATTCGACAGCTGACGCGCGCGCATGCGCCGTCGCGCCGTCGCCCACTCTTCCACCATCTGTGCATCCCTTCCTCCTCTACACACCGCGCTCGCTTCACTCCTCCACCATCTGTGCACCCTTCCTCCTCTACACACCGCGTTCGACATCTACAATTCTCCTGATTCTCTAGTGGACGCGCATGTGGCGTCGCGCTTCGAGAACATTCAACAGCTGACAGTGCATGCGCCGTCGCGCTGTATAAAATCAAGGTCGGCGCTCGCTCGCTCAGTTGCCGCTCGTCGGTTGGTTTGTACGGCGCGTCGACGTCCAAGGTCGCGGTGAAATGAATTCCAACGAGTCCACAAACACAATGATCGACGTCCCTTCGACCAGCGCCGCCCTTTCGCATACGTGTGTACGTGTTCACTCATTTAACACCCCCTCCTACAACCACGTTAACCAATTTAGCCATCGACCCAAGTAAGTCGCAATTTAACACCCCATTTCACAACCACGTTAACCAATTTAGCCATCGACCCAAGTAAGTCGCACTTTAACACCCCGTTAACCAATTATATGCTCCGCATCCTCCTCAGTGTTCCCCCGAGGGAAGCTGCGGGCAATTTTTTTTATGCTGATTGCGTTTCAGCATGAGTTCCGGTTACTGCTCCTGAAATACGTGTTTGAGTCCTCCTTTCTAAGCAAGTAAGACGTGCAATAGCATTTGTATTCGTGTCTCCATAAATTACTGCATACCTAATCAAGGCAGTTTTTGCAGTGTTTTCACTTGCAGCCGTTTACTATGTGAAGGTAACTCATACGCTTTACGAAGAAGCCACCTTCACGCATTGAACTTTATCGCAGCTAAGTGAGTGTGCCTACATTTTGTTGAATGTGTTGTGTTTATTACGTTTGGGCAACGACACATGCTAAATTAGAAGCAAGTGCGCATCATCAGTTCATTCTGAGAAGGAAAGAAGGGTGTTAAAGCATGTTTGTTTAATGCTGTTTCGCTTTCTTTTACGTATAGTGTTACAAGCAGCTCGTGATGACTCGTGCATGACTGCGCACGTTTTTCAAACATTCAATGGCCTCGGCACATGCAACGAAATGCAGGCACGTGCATTTAGCTGCAACAAAGCCCGTTGCGTGAATGTCGCTTCTGTGTAAAGAGTACGAGTCGCCTTCAGTTTGTGAATGGCTGCCAGCGAAAATACTGCAAAAACTGCCTTGAATAACCCTGAAACAATTTGTGGGAACACAAGTATAAATGCCATATTTGCTTAGAAAAACAAATGCACGGACGTCTTCGTGGAGCAGTAACCGGAGCACATTCTGAAAATGTCGTCAGCTTGAAATGTTAAAGATGCAATGTTTACGGCTTATATCTTTTTTATTTAAGTTGTTCTCATTGTAACCGTGTAATATACTCTCCAATGTAGCTACCGCTGACTGGCGGAAGCTCGACCAGTTTTACCTTTCAGTTCTTCCTTGTTAACGCCATTTGGACGGCACGCAGTTTTTGACCACTCCCGACATCAAATGAACAAAGGCAATGCACTCGCACCACAGAAGGGGAAAAATATGAGAGAGCACTCCTCGCCTCTATAAGCCAACCTCCCATGAAGGCGCTACGTCATCTGGCCCATGTCCCAATAGCCACCACGCACTTGTTTATGTTCTTTTTTCTTGGTGAGCTCATGGAAATGAAAACCAAAAGTTCACGATTACGTGCGTCCAGCATCCACAAGTCAGCCTTATCCGATGCCTCTCATCCCTCTTGCTCCATGTCCTGGTCACAGTTCCCAGCATGTTTTTGTTTAAATTTTCTATGGCTGAGTAGTCATTTTCATTGCTACTCCTGAGTACTGTCCATTTCCGCCGCAGCTTGTTAGCTTGAGTTCGACCAGAGAACCCGCAGTTTCTGGTTCTTTTTTTGCAACGTCATTTCGATGTGCCGAAGTTCTCACAACTGCTGACACGAATGAGAGCAACGCAATGTGTTCCCACGCAATGAACGCACGCAGCACCCAGATATGTGTTTTTGGGGTACTCCTCGAAGGCCGTGCACAACTTTTCATTGCGCAAGCCATCGCAATAGGAAAGTTTAATTTGGCTCTGTCTAACGCACCTCTGAAGGCCGGCACGCAATGCTTGCATCGTTATGAAACATTTCCGACTCATTCATACGCAAGGTAACACTCGTAAGTTCTTATTTTTGAAGTTTTCTATACTTCCCTCTTACACTGCGAATGTGATAACGGGTTATGTGCATCCACGTGGTCGAGAAAGAACATCCTAGCTCAACCATTTTTGAAGTAACTGTATGCGCCCTACAGAAATACAATGTGGACAACTCCTTTAGATTCACATGTCGAAAATAACTGCCCTGCAGTTGTACTTTACTCTTCTGAAGAAGTGTCAAGAGTATTGTCTGACTTGAACGCTGCAGCATCCTCCAGTATTTAAGGGTAATGGCCTAGCGAGCTGGAAAGAAACCATATTTGTGGAGTCTTGCACCTACAAAACCATGCATATGAGAATTAAACAGAAAATGTATGTATATGTGCATGGCTTATTGCTCCTTTCTTCTTATGTTTTTTACCAATAAAGTAGATAAGTAGACATGTAAACGCTTTCAAACACTTCCAAAAATCAATACCTGAGCTTCTTGATATACGTTTATGCTAAAACGACACGTCGCAAAAACACACACAAAAGAATGATGTCGTCAGAGCGAGAGAGTACCAGTTATTTATCATATCACTCACGTAGACGGCCACTGACGGATAACTATCGCCTCTTGCCTGGGATAGAGGGTGCTTACCAGTGCGTCCAACAGAAAGAAATTATAGAGACCACACATTTGTTCCTTCCCTGTCCTGTGTTTTCTGGTGTTGAGCTGCAAATAAGTTCACGATGGTCGACACAGAGCGCTGATCTTCGGCGCTCTGTCTCGTCTCTTCTATCTCTTCCTCTCGTATGCACTGCTAAGCACCCTTTATCATGTTGAACTGATACGCCCAATCTTACGATGACTTAAGTCTCTTGCCTCAGAACGTGCAGACGAGTGCAGATCACTTTAGGGGCCCAAGCTCTCGTATGTTACTATCAAATGGCGTCGTAGCTTGTAGAAGCCCAGGCAACAACCCCGTGTAGCATAGCAAGCTGTAGGATATTCATCGTAGTAATGAGAACTTTCCTTGTTTTTCTTCTTCAAAGCCTTCATATTATTAGGCGCGGAACACTTTAGTGAACCGGTTTTTTGTACATTACTGTATGCTGTCATCACTGCGCGTAACAAAGGCAAAAATACGTATAAAAATAGGCATAAGAGGAAGCAAGACAAATATAGAATCAAAGGGAAAAGAACGAAAAGACCGGACAAAAATACCAAAAGCAAGAAATAGAAATTATATGAACAGAAAAGAAGTCAGAAATAGAAATATAGATATAAAAGGACATGAAGATGAAAATAGAGAAATCGAGAGGAAAAAAAAAAAGTTGGAACCAAAGAGAAACAAAAAAATGTTGCCTGTCTTCACAGTTTCTTAAGGTTTGGCACCAGTAGCCGAAGATTCCTAAATATAATTTTCGCTTCTGTTCTGCCCCTCTACCATTTTTTGTGTAGCGTCCTTTGCAGTGTATTGAGTACTCTCACATCCTTGTGTCCTTTCAAGAGCCCCTAAACGGCCTCTGCATGTGAAATATTGCGCGCATTATTCCCTCTTGACCATTATTGTGTTTTGTTCGTTTTTTGTTTTGTTGTTTACAAGACTTCAGAACGGTGATTCAGGTGACGTGACCAGCACACATACTCTCAAATGGTCCATATACAAGCAATTTAATTTGCAAATTATCTTGTCATGCATTGACCCGTAGAGTTTTTTTTTAATTAACTAGAGGTGACTCTTGCGCTGCGATCGTTCAGTGACCATGGGAATGATGGGTAGTACACAAATTTGCCTAGTCTTCGTACTTTCGGGTGGCGAATCTTACTTGCGGCTTCGTTCATTGCTGGTTACAGTTTTGTTTTGAAGGAAAGAACGAATCCTTTTGAGCTTTGCGACCTGATTCGAAATGATAAGCCTAAAAATAAGGTTGTGAAGCGCAAACGCTGAACATTTGCTAATTTTTTTCGTAAAAAAAGAGGTTCAAGCCACATGAACACACACTGAGCCAGAAGCAGGCTAGAAGTACGAAATTTAGACAAATGTGTCTATTACGCATCATTCCCATGCTCGCTGAAGGACAATGCGTTGCAGCTTCCATAGACACTAGCGCCAGAGTTCTCTCTAGTGTATATTAGGAAACTATACGCATTGACCCACTCGTTTTTCGTTTCCTCTCATGCCCTAATTTTGCTGGCATTTTATGATTTGCGCCTGCGCGAAAAACAGTGTAGCGGACAAGCTTGAAATCCTGATAGGCTGAATGCTCAGCACTAACATTGTGCTCCTGCTTTATGCAGATATAATTGTGTTGGGGATATGTCCCCAATAGGATTTGGAGTGAAATCCCGTAGAAAACAAATGGAAGGGGCACCTGGCTAGTTATATTTTTCCTATGAACGAATTCTGCAAGGACGACGCAGCTCCCAAGGACATGACCAGCCCTCTTCCATAGTTGTAATTTTTTCTTTATTGTGGTAGCAATACATCAACACTCTGCACAGGTGCTCATTGTCGTCTACCTGTTCCGTATAGAGTCCAAATCACTATATCTTGTACGGGCATCTTAGGCTACACCCACTTTTAAAAGCTCGCCATGCAAATGTAGAATGTAGCCATGCAAAGTGTTGTGCGATAGATAACTTGGCGATATGCTCTCCGATAATACGAATAATGGTAGGCTCTGCGTGTTCAAGAAGGAAAGCGAACTGCATGAATACTGTTGCATGGAAGTCTCATGAACACAGCATTACAAGCCGTTGGTCTTGTTTCCTATTTAGAAGACGTAGGTTTCTAGGTGCACGTTTGTGGCGAGTGCATCCTTGCACAGCACATCGTTTCCCCAAGCACCGACGCAAGCGCTCGGCATTCAGTGTAATCCGCATTGTTCCGCTGCCCGTTATCGGGCAGCGGAACAACGCGAAATTTGACAGTACACTGAAGACGTTTGTCAACCATATAACGCACCTCACAACCTCGAACTTCACGCACAGCATATCACACAAGCATGTGCCGAACACTAAACCACGTGAAGGAGTGTGTCATCGCAGACGAATCCTGCGAGTTTAAATTTCCATGCAGAGCAAGGGCTGCGCCGAGTAATAATGGCGTAGGCAGAAGGCGCTAGAAATTTTTCTAATAATGAAAGCTCATAAATTACTCGCTCATTAAACTCAAAACAATGTTGGGCAAAAGAGATGTTATTTTTGAAACATTGATATTGCTTCGCCTTTGAAAAATTTTGGGTTTTTCACTACTAGTGTTTGTTCCCTCCGCACATGTTCGCACTTCAACCGCAGAACCCATAACTCCCTATGCTGATGTCTCTGGCAATAGCTTTTCGACCGCTTTTCGCCCAAAATTTTATTTCCCATTTGAATAAACCTTGTGCCTCCTCTGTCGTTCAAATGGTGGTTTTGGGACGTTAAACCCCACAAATCAATCAATCCTCTGTCGTTCGCCGAACGATGGGGTATGATGGAAATACGGGGTAGAGAGGCTAAGTGAACCGATCTAACCTTGGCGATCAGTTCGATCAATAGCGGCGGTCAAATGGGAAAACCCTTTGTTGCCAATCGCGTGCAAGAAATTTAAACACTCACAGATCTAACGTCTGAGAAACACTGTCCCGGCAACGAGAACCACGCAGATCTGTTGATCCCCGGCATGTCGCCTTCTGAGTTGGTCAGGCGCATAGACTGCTGGAAGGGCCCCGAGTGGCCATAGAAAAAAGAACGATCCACTACAGCCTCTGAGGCAGACCTCAGTACCAGCCAGCTGTGCCTAAAAAAAGAGCAAGCGGTCCAAGTTTTGAGATCTGTCGCAGTGACTGACCCGGAGTCGCTGATGAACTCGGAAAAGTACAGTTCGTTAAGAGGAGTGTTCTGCGTTGCAGCATGGGTCAGGCGTTTCATTCACAACAGTCGATGCCAGTCGAAGTTGACGGGAGAGCTGACGGTTGAGGAAGCAGCCAATGCGGAAAGGCTTTGGCAGAAAACCTGCATTTAGAAAGACTTGCAAAAGACGTTTTCGCACTGCTTAATTCCAGGTCTCTCGATCGGGCATCCCCAGTATTTGCTCTCCATTCGTTTTTTGGACAGTGGTGGCGTGTTGAGAGTTGATTGGCGGCTACAGTGCTGTACAGTTGCTGTACAGTTCTGTTACTCTACAGTGCTGTACAGTGTATCGGCGGCTACAGTGCTGGTGACACATCCTGTGATATTGTCACCATCTCACCCTTCCATGCGCCTGCTTATCCTCTTGAAGGGCAGATGCCTTCTGCATGCTGCCGTGATTGACACGTTATCCACTCTTCGAGAGCAATAATGAATTGTTAGAGGAAGACAATCATATCAGTGATTCGACGCTGTCTTTCATGTCAGAAGCAAAGCTGCCGAGCCGCAGATGAGCCTACCGCCATATGTCCTGCCTATAGAGTAAGCCGAGCTGGCCCTTTCGAGAAAGCAGAAATTGACATTGCAGGGCAAATATTCTACAAAAAAAGAGGGTCCTAAAACAAAGCCTCTATTGTGTTGTTTTTTTCACTTGCGCGACAACAAGCGCCACACTCCTCTAACATGTTAGAGGAGTGTGGCGACCTTTCATCGATATTGTTTCTGATGGCGTCTAAGGGATCTGCATTGAGGAGAGGAATATGCAAGACATTGCTATTCGACAACGCTCTGTCATTTAAACGAGCTCCGAACGACTTGAACCAAATGTTCTAAGCCATAAAAGCAGGCGAGGTCCGTTCTTTATTTAGTGAATTTGGGATCACTTGTAAATTCATTGTTTAGAGAGTAGCGTGGTGGGGTGGCTTTTGGAAAGAATGGTGAAAACTGTCAAGGCCACCTTTCGCCTAGTTCTCGGAAAAAGCCGCCTCGACTCCAAAACCTTCTCCACAGTTCTACCTCAGGTAAAGGCTGTGGTTATTTATTGTCCCTTGATCTTCGTCTCATGTGACGCGGGGGAGCTTATACCATTGACACCTGCCCACTTTCTCGTTGGCCGAAAGCTATGTTTCTCTACTCTCCGAGAAACGGCGGAAGTGAAGTCGACCGCATATAGCCAGATCCGAAGCAGCGCAGTATTTTTCTTGACTCATTACGGTGCGTTGGAGACTCGAATATCTCCTACAACTGCATTCTGCACATAAAGAAAAGCCAGGGAAATGCGAAACATCAATGAAAGAGATATCGTCCGCCTCGAAGAGGACAGAACTCCTCGCCGACTGTGGAAACTGTACCGTGTTCTGAAAACTTTCCCAGTAAGTGATGGCCGACACGCGCTTGCAAAATACTTCTGCCTAACAAAAGGGAACTTCGACGACCAGTGCAAGCCTTGTACCCACTTGAGCTCAACGTCTAAGCCGACACCATGGGAGAAAGACGACAAGAAATGTGCGGGCGCTCATTGCTGGGGAGGATGTTAAGAATTTTGAAGGGTTCGACTTGCTTTCCCGCCGTACAGACGCCATAGAAGATGTTCATCTTCGCCGCCCACTGAGACACACAGCGCAAGAGAGAGGCCACTTTCTCTCGACATCCCTTCAGCGTTTGCCTTGTGACGAGAGAAAGACCGGCCCATTGGCAAGGGAAGCGCTCTGCAGCCAGCAAAAAAGAACGCTCTGCCTGACTGTTTGCTGGCCACTCTATATACATATTCACCGGATCATCACCTGCAGCGTAGGAGTGATGTGACATTTCTTGTGCGTAGTTGAGCAATAAGTATTCGTAGCGTGCCGGTTAAATAAAAGCAAACTTTATCCTGCGTCCTTCGTCATGTTTCTCGTCAAAAGAGTTGGGATACGCTTCCAGTTATGCTTCGCCACTGCCCTATGTCGTTGCTCGTACTCAGGTGCCGCGGTGGGCAGACTGGGGCTGCGGCTGCGTGGACTCTGTCTCCGTTGGTGGGCGCAGCTGGTAAGCGACAGCATGCCATACACCAGGAGACGAGGTTTTTTTAACGTGAGCGCCTGATCAGACCAATAATGCTTTCGTTCACTGTTATTGATATACCGAAAATACTGTAGTATTTGTAAAAGCTCGGGCTGTAACTTGTACACGATGGTAAAATGAGCAAAGGAAGGGGGAGGGTCGAGAGAGTGAAAAGAGTAACTTCACTTTCACCAATTGGCTGACATACATAATAAGCAATGGGGCACAAGAATAGTGAGAGATAGATAGGGGGCGAGGGAGAACAGCAAAAATCTAAATTTGTGTGAAATCGCAAAGATTTATCAGCGTTATTGTTTTAAATCATTTAGAGTTTCAATCAAGCATATAACGACGCCAGAGAAAATATAGGAAATGTCATTAACAGTTGGTGAAACGTAAATGTCGAGGAATAAGCGTAGATGAAAATGTAACTTGGTGCTAACAGTTAGCAAGCCTACCTTCTTGAATAGCGCGTTCAATTAATCTAACAACCAAGCTATAGGTCCTACATAGCCCCGTGCACTTTGTTGCTTATATTTCTGCAATTAAACCTAGGAGTGTTAGCTCAGCGCCGCCGCCCGCTGATTTAACAGCTCCGGCTTGTCTGCCGTAAGAGGGATTCATGTTCCTAGAAAACACCACTTATGAAATGGAGATCGTGTTGTTGGTGCGTGTTTTGGACTCCTTTTCAAAGCTATTCTGTTTTGAGAAAAAAGCTTTCTCTTGAAACATTTTCGAGTTCCGGGGCTAAGTTGTTTTTTGGCTCGCGAACTTCGCTTTGTTGCAAAATCGGTGCTGTTGTAGGCGAATAAAAAGATATTCCTTCACGATATTTCTTGGCGGCGTGATTTAGCGCACGCAGCTTTGTTTTGTATTAGGTATAGAATATTAGAGCTTGCTATATATAAGCGCGTCGCATCTCGGTTGCTGAGAGACTGTTCTTTCCGCTGTGTCAATATAGTACACACCTTTGTTGACAATGATGTGCCCTGTGCAGCTGTGTTTGATATGAGTCATTATACACTACAAGTGTTGATGCATAATTACTGCAGTGTTTCAGTTTGTTCTATAGCGGTTTCAGGATAAGATACGCGTCACCAGCAACACAAATTCGTGTATTGCCTTATAATAATCAACTTCGACTATAAAGTTAGCAAAGACATGCTTAAAACTTACGAATGTCCTATTTCGTGGGCGAAAACCTGGACGCCATAGAAGCTTCCCGGTGGATCTTCAGACATGCCTACTTTAGACTGCTGACAAAATCCACCTATATATGAATACCCTAATAAAGTAAGCAAAGCACAATGATTACTGGAAAGAACTAGCAGAGGAAACAGGCTCAAAGTTGTTCATCAGCTTGTTGTTTTTTATAAGAGCTCTCGCCTGGAAAACATCACTTCTCTGTTCCTAATAAGCTAAACATGTTGTAGGTATGGTCCCACTTACTATACCGTTAACTATATTTGTTGGTTACAAAATGTACAATGAGCTCACACAATCACAATTTAGGCCGCGAATGTATTCACATCAGTAAATTTTCGTCCGAACCATGGCAGTATTCAAGCCAGTTCTTTGTAGTAAGGCTTCGCGATGGCGATCGCCGTCTTTCTCCAAACGATGCTCCGGAGGAAGACAACTTCTCTATTGGACGTTTTAGTAGCATAAACTTCATGTAAAAAACTATAACACAACAAATGACAGCAAAAAAAGAAGAATGAACAGCACTGGAGCCATAAGGCTGAGACAGACAATATAATTTTTGTGCGGTATGACATGTGCCATTCAATGGTCAGGCACGACGCGCATGTTGATTCAGCACAGAGGGAGCGAGTGAGCTATCAGCCGCAGAGTCCACCCACGTACATAGGGTGCCTCGGCAGACACAATCAGAAGACTTTGTATCCTTGTTATACAAGACAGAAGAAAGAGCATTGCATTACCACATTTGATATAAAGAAAAGTCACATTTTTATCGCAAAGGCGAAGCAATCAATGTGATAGCAACGCATTAGAATGTCACGCGAAGACTGGCAAGCAGATCAAAACGTGCTCCACGTTGCTCGCATTCAAATGATGCAAAAAACGTACTGACAAGTACAGTTGAAAGCGAATAAGTGCCTCAGCTGCTACTTCGCTGCACCTGAAAAGCACGCTATTTTCGCAAACTGAGGCTGTGCAACAATTTCAGCGACCTTTGTGCGCCCGGTAACTACAGCATGAGTGTTCTGGTGGAATACCAATGTGCACAATTTTCCCCACCACGAAATAAGCGTGCGAACGCGTGAGCCTCTTAACCCCTCCTCAGTGGAGCCAAATACGCATGTGAGGTGAACGCATCAACACGCGTCACCAGGTCTTGACGATGGGGCGAGGCTAAGAGAGAAAACACAACTTTATTGTCGTCAGACAAAAAGAGGGAGGTGATCCACCAGGCTAACCTGGTGGCCACTCCTCTGCCCCTTGTACGGGCTGGAGCTGAACTGCCAGGCTGGTGGAGCTCGGAACTGCCTCTCACCCCGCTGGCGAAAAGTGGCTAGGAGATCGGGAGTAGGGGAGTGTTCCCTGCAGGCCCAGACAATGTGATTCAGTGTGGATATTGAGACACAATTCAAGCGATGCGGAATAATCGTGTCGGGGTATATATGAGCCTAACTGTATGGGCACGGGAATCAATGTGTTTGTAAGCGGTGCCAAATAACCTCCTGGCGCTTAGTTAGCTTGTGATGCCGGGGTGGTTCTCACTGCCTTGAAAGACGGTAATACTGCGTGATGTCAAGGTAGGATGTCAAGGCTTCACCAGGGTTTCCCGAATCAGTAGTGGGTCCCAATCAGCTGACAAATCCTCGAGCACATTGGTGGGCCACCTCGTTTCCTCGGTCTCGGCGTAAGCCGGCATTCATACCAACTCAGTAGAGCACGGCGCGTCTTCCTCAGCATCCCTTAAGAGTCTGAGCGAGAGTAAACGCAGAGTCGTGGGGCCACAATGTTACGTACGAAGTTCCATGTGGCAGCCTTTGAGTCGCTGAGTATAGGAATGAATCTGGTTGCTGGTGCTAGCGCTATGGCCGCTTCCTCGGCTTCCGTCATATTAAGCACACGGACGGAACCTGCCATTTTACTTTAAGTAAAGTGACGTTGTTGCCGGGGAGACTGATTACGCTTATCGCATACGCTTTGGTAAACTCTCAGTATTTGGTCTAGTGGCTAAGGTACTCGGCTGCTGACCCGCAGGTCGCGGGTTCAAATCCCGGCTGCGGCGGCTGCATTTTCGATGGAGGCGGAAATGTCGAGGCCCGTGTGCTCAGATTTGGGTGCACGTTAAAGAACCCCAGGTGGTCAAAATTTCCGGAGCCCTCCACTACGGCGTCTCTCATAATCATATGGTGGTTTTGGGACGTTAAACCCCACAAATCAATCAATCATTAAACTCTCAGTATTTGGCGGTGTAAACCTACGCAACAGTTGGGTTGAACGCGTACGTTTTGTGAAAGAATTTGGCCATCACTTTGTATCTACGGTCGTGATGGTTGGCAACATATTCTTTGGCCGTGGTTTCATACGAGATCTTTTTTCTGATATTGGGGGGATGACAGCAGGATCGTTACCTGTAGAAGATACCACGTGGCCAAATATAGCTATTATCCAACGCCCCGTTCTGCTTTCCTGTATTCGGTAAATTCTGGCAGTTATATGCGCTTCAAGAAGCTCTTCTAAGGTGTCATGTAGCCCGAGACTGAGGAGGTGCTGTGTCAATGTGTTTCGGAGGAGCCCCAATGCCAGCTTATACGCTTTGCGTATGAGCCGGTTTAGCTGGGCTCACTCAGACTGAAGGAGGCGCAAAAAAGAAAGGGGTACGTGAAGCGTGACAAAACGAAGCCTTTGATTATATGTAGCAGTTTCTTCTGCTTCATGCATCGATTGCGCGCGCTCACGTGAGATAATAGATGGGCCGTCTGGTTTACCGTTATGGTAAGACAGTATAGCTTAATACTGTTATGGTTGTTTGTTTGCACATTGAGCCCGTCACACGTGATAAAAGATGGGCCGTTTATTTCACCGTTATGGTAAGACTGTCTAGCGTAATGTTGTTATGGTGGTTTGTTTGCACTTTGTGTCCGAGTACCCTCATGTGGCCCACCTGTGGTATTGGCGTGTCATTGAAATACACGTTAATACTAGGAAGTGGAGTCTTACTTTTGTGGCGGTCTGGAGGTCACAGTAATAGTAGCTCCGATTTGCTCTGTAAACACTCCAAGCCTGCATCTGACACGTGCTGAGTGACTTCATCGGTAGCCGTTTGAATAGTCTCCTTATTTCGACTATCGGATATCACCTTCGACCAGAGCGTGATGTCATCTGCGTAGAGGGTGTATTGCAGGCCGGGTATCATGTCAAATATGGGAGGTAGTGACCTCATAGTGAGGTTGAATAGAAAAGGCAACAAAATGGCTCCTTGCTGACTGCCGCGATGACCGAGCTTGATGAGCTTAGAACGGAGGATACCGATTGAGAGTTAAACTGTTGGATTAGATAAGTAAGTAAGGATGTAGGTAAATATGCGTTCTCCTGGTTGTAGCTTCGACATATTGCCTGAAATGGTACTATGCTTCACGCTGTCAAATGCTTTGTGAAGGTCCAGACCAAGCAAAGCCTTGGTACTAGTGCCACTCCCATGTCCAAGGAGATCGTGGTGCCACAGGATGAGTGCATCCTGAGTGTATAAATGGGCCCTTAAGTCCAGCATTGTGGGGAGAAGTTTGCGGTGCTCTTCTGCAAAATTTTGCAAGCAACAGAGCCCAACATGCTCCATTAGATTAGCGAAGTTTGGCGAAGATTTTCCAGGTCGAGTCTCGTGCCCGGCTTTGGTATAAAGAGGACATTTGCGTGTTTCCATTCTGATTATAAATGACCGGACCTCCAGAACTCATTGGCATATTCAGTAATAGCCCCTGCCGAATACGGATCGAGGTTGAGTAGCGTTGTGCTTGTCACCCGTGTCGGTGTGTGCAGTTTATGCAGACCTATGCAAACCTCACTTTCCGAAATACCGGCATCAAACTGTTCGTTGGTCGTTTCAGTGTACTTGGGCAACTGTTTTGTGCAGCCTTGTTTCCGAGATGTGTTTATGTACTTGGTGATGAGCTCCTCCAGCAGCTCTTCGTCGGTGCCTGGGTACTGATGGACAGTTTGGTCAAGCTGTTTGCGTGCCACCGACTTGAAGCTACCAGGGTCCAGTAGGTGTCGCGGAAGATGCCAAGTTTTCTTACAGCCCATCTTACCATTGGGGCTGCCGCAAAGTTGGCCCCACCGCTGGCGTGTTAGCACAGATGTGTGTGCTTCTGATTCGCGTTCGAGCCTCAAAATGCGGCGGTGGAGCGTAGTGTCGTGACGTCGGCGCCGCCACCTACGCATGAGGCTTTCAAGCGCATCCAAGATATGTAGCAGGCGTGAGTCTGTTGATGGCTGTTCTGGAGTTACATCTGTTTGGTTTGTAGCGTTCACATCTCCACTAAAAATGTATCCTTTCGTTCAAGTCTGATGGGTGCCGTTTCTTTGTGCAGTTGGCAGAAATCACCTCAATCGATAATGTGATCTGTGGCTCGCTTGTTTACTTTGCTCGTTGTCATCTCGCTGATTATCGATAGAATGGAATGGTCACTTCCAACCGTGGGACCTGTGTTTTGCCATCGGGCACCCTTTGTGTTTTTGCATAAGGAGAGGTCCGGTGTAGTATCCCTACATACGCTGTTTCTGACTCGCGTCGATTGCTGTGGGTCATTGAAGATATGGAAACCTAGGTATTGTGTGATGCCGCATAATCGGAGACCCTTGGGGTTGGATTTGGGGTATTCCTATTCGGTATGCCTTGCTTTAAAATCGCCCGGTACGAGCAGCTTTGCCTTCTTCGTCAGAATGAATGCTTTCCGAAAGATGTAAAGGAGATCTACATCTTCATATCTCGGAGGGCTGCATATATTTGAAATTATAGTCGTTTGTCTCCTTTTTTTGGGTACAATGATAACCAGTAAATGATCAATGATGTTATCCTCAATTTTATGCTGAACGGCTGTGAGATTCTTGTGTACAAAGATAGCAGTATGGCACTGTGCGCTTGCAGACAGGTCTAGTTTGTGATTATATGATGCGTATCCAAGCAGTTGAGCGGCAGTGTTCATTTCCTGAAAAATTATGATCTCCACCGTACATTCCCCGTTTGCTTCATGGTTCTGAATATGCTTGGTATGTTGCTGCAGATGGCCCTTCTTATTGCGGAAGCCCCTGAAGTTCCACTTCTAGACGGTGAGCGTGTGGAAAGCCGCCATGACTACATAGTTAGTGGCATGGTGGCCGCTGTCTGCTGGAGTTTGCCGGCAATTGCATGGTGCGCGGTGGATGGCAAACTGCACACTGAAGTCGGCCAGTGCGGCTTCAGTCGAGCTCTCAGCACGGCGCGTGAGGTAGTTGTTTCCAGGATGGTTTGGGGGATCGCATTAAAGCGTGTTTTTAGTTCGACTTGTAAATCGTATCTCAGCGTAGAGATGGCTGCGTGACTGCCATCATTAGTGTTGTAGTGTTGTCCACGTCTGCATGAAACAAAGAAACAAAGCTGTGTATGTAGCTGCCTTGCATTCATTGGCATTTTGATGTTGAGGAACTGGTGGCAACGCCATGTTGTTCGGTGTTAGTGGGTTCTGAAGTGTTTCTTGTGTTTCGAATGATGTGGGTGTAGTTTTGTCGACACTGAGTGATCTATCAATTTTGACTTCTAGATACTGGACGTAGCTCGTTAATTCAGCTATCTGGAACTGCTGCGACGAACGTTTAGCCTTAAGGGTAAAATTCTCCTTTGTCAACTTCTTTACCTGTGGATCGGAAAATAATAGTGAGGCCGGAAGGCCCCGCTGCCACGCCACCAACTTTGACGCCTCTCCGGGACTTCGACTGAATGAACGAGGCGCCTATGAGCGGTGCCTGGCTGATTTTGCACCTTGGGTACTACGAGTGAGATGAGGGCCTGCTGTCTCATCGTTCAGGTGAGCGCGATTTCGGGCGCCAGGTATGGGATTGCGACCGGCTGTAGCGTCGTTTTTAGCTGAACGAGAACCTGAGAGCTCTGATCGAAACCTACTCTCTCAGCGCTGGTTCCGGCTGCTGCTGTTTCCGAGTGATGGAAAAGATGCAGAATGGTCCCGAAAGGATATTGAGCGGCTGCTGGAGGGGCCGCTGTGGGATGGGTTACGATGGCTGTCCGGCATAAGTTCTTGCGCTTCTTACTTCAATTGCGGGGTGGGGGGCATCTTTTGATAAAGCGATACGTGCAGTTTGCGCTGACGGTCATATCAGACTGTGCAGCGTGGCGTGAATGCGGGTGTTTCACCCTGTCCTGGTAGAGAGCGCTTCTCTCTGCGACGGCGGCACCGCTGCTTACGTGGCATAGGGCAAATATGCGTGCGGTGACCGACCTCGCGGCAGTTAAAGCACGATTCCACCCTGTTGTAGAACGGTAGTTCCTGTTGTCGGTTCCATGGTATAATATTCACCTGTGAAGGTTTTTCGCCATTAGTACAATCACGACATGCCTAGATTGGTCCGTGCGTCTGCTACTCACGATAGGAATGTTGGGGTTACTGGCTTACAGGTCCGCGAGTATCTCTTCGTCTGACAAGTCATCATATGCCTGGAACATAATGTCTCGTACGGTGTCGTCGGGAGGGGGGGGGGGTATAGACATGACACTTGATAGTAGCAACGCAAACGCTAATTGACTTCACGCGAAGGTAGGCCTGCGCGCGTTGTCAGTGATTGACACTCAAGGTGAATGTATTATTGCTGCGGTGCGTCCGAAGACGATCCCGACTCGCCGGTGGCTGGTCTCACAGTGACGCTGACTGGAGCAGGGCGCCGTAAATTGGCCGGGTGGCACTTTCGTGAAATCGAAGAACGTTTTATGTGTGTTAAGAAAAAAGTTTATTCTCTCATGGGACGCAACAAACCTAAGGGACAAGCGTCTGTATAACAGGCACAAAAACAAACAAAAGACAAGGCACAACATACATTACACATTTAAACAAAGTGTCCAAGTCCGTAGGATGTCTATAGTCCGTTGTACTAATAACTATACATACACTACATAAATGCACTAATCACAATATGGACAATGTACATGATGATATATGTACAGAATTTACAAGACTTGGTGAAGATGTTAGAAAATATGTGCAACAGGTATCAATATTCATAAAAGTTACATAACTTACAGCGTTAGAATGAAGTGCATATATAGAAGAGCTCACACCCATATGGGACATACCTAAACACATAAAAATAGTAAACACACACTAATTACATGCACCAATCAGACATTTACAGGTGACCTGGCTATAGGAACCACGCCAGGTGGAAGACTAATCGAACGCGTCTGTCAACTACGGACAGAAAGCAGCACGACCATTGTCGCAGAAATTCTTCCTCCCCAAGGAAGAACAATTCCTCCGACAGAAACGATAAGAGTTCAGAGTAGAGGCGTTCCAGAATCGGAAAAAGAGCATGACGACGATGACCTGCCGCAACAGCTTCGCACCTATTACGCCATAAACAAAAAGCTCCCGCAGCTATTAGAAGGCGTGCAAAGCGACTACGCGAGCAGCGACCAGATGTTACAAAGCGATTAACACCTAGGCCACGAAAACTAGTGTTAACTGACTTCCAAAACACCTTTGCAAAGACACATTGCTGCAGCATATGCTGGTTAGACTCCTGTAACGGGCAGTTAGGACAAGTGGAAGATGGGACCATGCCCCACCTCTCCAGTCTGTCCCGCGTTGGGAGTCTTCTCCATCCAAGACGCCACATAAAGTCACGGAGGTGACCAGGCACAAACGATGCCGTTATCGCGCTCCACGAGACATGTCTCAATTGTGCAATACGGGCTGGAGAAACCACAGGAAGCTGAAGAGCCGCCGTTGTACCTACAATGCGGCTTTCAAGAATGTCCACATCGGGACAAACCTGCTGCGCGTGTCGATAAAATGCTACTGCCGTTGAGTAAAATGCAGGCACGTTAAGTGTTTGCGGTGCAGAATTAAGCCGTGCATCTGGTAGTAAATAGCATAACTTGGTGCCTAAGAAATAGCAGGCAAGATCACGCGCGGGGCACTAATCACCATGCAACAACCGAAGTAAGAATCGTAGGGCAAGCAGCTGGCAGCGAACAGAGACGGATGAAAATGCGAATCCACCGCAGTTTCTCCGCTGCCCAAGAGCTGCTCGGCAAACCAGCTATGTTCCACCTGACCAGAAAAAAGAGCCAATGAGGAATTGCAACGACCTGGTGATTCGTAATGGGGGCTGTAAGGTATGAGATATGTACCATGCACGGCCACAAAACACCGTCTGTGCTAAATACCTTCTTTCGAGCATCGGTAACTCATATTCTTGTGCTTCCCCGATGTGTCGTTATGCATCTTCGACTACTGAATTTCACAAGGAGGCTGATATGCCGTAGCAAGTATAATCAAGCCCCAGATTGCGAATAGAGTCACTTTTTTGAAGACCGAAAAAGGAACCTAGACATGCGTCTGGGGAACCAATGAATAAATATCGACATTTGGAAAAATTTAACGCAGCACCTGAAATCGTGCCATACGCAGTAAAAAGTCGTAGGCTACGGGATAAACTGTCCTCATTCTTCAAATACAACGTGATGTCATCAGCAACTGCTGTCACTGTCACGGTAACACTACCTGGAAGAGGAAGGCCTCTAACGTAAGGATCAGCGACTAGCGATTGAAGGAATGGTTCGAGGCTGAGTACAAAAAGTGCAGGGAATAAAGGACACCCCTGGCGAACACCACGGGTAACTGGAAACGGCGCACTCTCTAAACTATCAATAAACAAGGTGCTGCGTATATTTCGGTATGCGTTTCTGAGAAGCTCAACGAAGTTTTGTGAGAAGCCAAATGCTGCCATTACGCTAAATATAAAGCTATGTTCGAGGCGAGCGAATGCCTTTTCCTGGTCAAGTGAAACCAAGAGTCCCCGAGCTGATCTTGTTAACGTGTACGCAACTATATCGCGCGTAACAAAGGAGAGACTGTAGATTTATCCTCAAGGAATAGAAAACGCCTGATGATGACCTATTAAGGAGGGCATCAGGCTTCTCAAACGCCGAGTAATAACTGCCGCGAAAGTTTTATAATCAACGTTGAGGAGCGTTATTGGTCGCCACTCCTGTGGGCGAACTGATGATGGCTCATGTTTAGGTATTCGAAAATTCGACCATCGCGA